GATAGTTGCGTGTTCAGGGCGGCCGGATCGGCGACGCGGCGGTGTCGGCCGATTACCGAGTCGCGGTGTTTGGTGCTGGAGGCGTCGGTAAATCGTCGATTGTTCAACGATTTGTTAAAGGAACATTCTCAGAGAATTATGTGCCAACTATTGAGGACACCTATAGACAGGTATGAAGCTGGTATTTTCCATAGAAAACCCTAGAAATATTTGTCGTCTTTCAAAAATTATTTTTTTTCTCACGCCCTATTTTTAGCACGATTTTTATAGCGAGCTTTTCTTGGCGATCGATTAATCTTTGGCAAATTTTTGCCATACTTATCGACTTTCTTTTTCTGACGTTCCTAAGAGAGAAATTGCGTAGTTCTTGATGAGTACTTCATTCTGAATGCACTAAAAAACCCTAAATGATTCTGGGAAGAAAAGTGCATGAGCATGCTGGAGAGCTCAATCACTGACGTAGTAAGTCGGTTTACAAAGCCGCTTATTATTTAGCTGCTTATCGGTGGATGCTGTTTGCCGCACAGCCCCCATTAGACCTATTAGACCCGTGAACCCGAAACGTACTCTCCCTTACTCACTGACTCTTTGAGCACCCTGTATAACCTAGGCACCTCACGGGCTTGTTATTTGATCTCTTACCGCAACATGTCCCTGATTTTTTACCTGATTTTGGAAGCGATGATTCCATAGTACTTGTCTTCGGCTTCCGAAAACCAGATGCGCGTCGGGTGCAGACCATACACCACAAGTGACGACGGCCTCACAAAATGTAAATGTTTTCTGCCAATGAAATGATTAGCCTGTTGCAGTTGTATTCTATCAGTTGTCACTAATTACAACTATCATTTACCAACTATCAGCTATCACTATGAACCACTAGTAACCAGATTTACTTGGAGGCCGTCGTCACTTGTGGTGTGTGGTCTGCACTCGACGCGCATCTGGTTTTCGGAAGCAGATCATAGATGGACCTTGATGAGATACGTTGGCATTGCTCTGTGAGACTTAGACAAAGTAGGAGCCATTGGGAAGAACTCGATGTTGGGATAGATGAAATACCTTACCTGCTGGGGGAGGGTGATCGTAGTTTAGGAACCAACAGCAACCTTGAGAAGTTGATTTTTTGCAAGTGACGTGAACAGTTCTCCTTTCAGATTAAACGTTTTTTTTTGTACAAATCTAGAGACCTTCCCCGGCTCCCACTCTATGTGCGTTGCATGTCCTCTTCCTTCCTCCCCCGCTTGAATTTAGTGGATAAGGGGGAGAGGAGGGGAGGAGAGAGCGGAAATAGAGGCAAGTACAAAGGGATAAGGGAGCGTCTCAGTTTTTCTCCTTAGGTCAGGTCTCCTGAAATAAAGGCACAACTCACTTGCTCGAAGCAGGCCCAAGACTAAGCAGGCACAATCATAGGCTTAAGCGTAAGCCATTGCGAAAGCATATGACCATGCCTTGACCCGAAACCAAGCATAATCTGAGGCTTCGATGACCGTGCAGCTCTGGTTGTTTGAGCTGGGAGGGAAACTGAAGGTCTCTCTGGGATAGGTGATATTGAGGCCTGAGTTCACTTGAAGAATTCCTCCCTCATCACCCAGCTTGACCATGGCAAGAGATCAAGTGGGGCAAGAGCGCCGTTGTCACCCTCACGGCTGATAGATTGGGAATCCTCGTGGACATCGAGTTGGAGAACCCACTTAGAGGTTTGGCGGTGAACTGAACGGTGAATCTTGCTTTTGGGGTCGTGAAAAAGCTGGCTTCAGTGGTGGTGAAACCTGCTCATTATACTGCTCCTAGGGTCTTGAATAAATGTAAGATATCTGCGGTGTTTTCCACAGGGACCTGAAAAGTTGATCCATTTCGATAGGGGCTTGAGTAATTGGTGTAATGGCCATTACTTGTTCAGAGAACATTGGCCCTAGTAGGAGAAGGCTGAATTCAGCCTAGGGACCCAATAATCAGTTCGGAGTACCATTTTAAGGAATTTCGTCTTCAAGAATGTGCCACGCTATTGACAAATGAGGACGATAAATCTTTTGGAGGAATCGGATTTCCTATGTGATTACTTTTTTTTCGCATGTATGAGGTGGAATTTCATCCTTGCAATAAGCACTCGGAACCTTTTTTCTTCAGATTATGCTCATTTAGCTTTCATTTCACGAAATAATCCTCATGATCTTCGTGGCCATTTGTTCTCACCACTTCGTGTGGATCTTACTGCTACCATAGGCTGGAGGCGGTGTAGTGGGTAAAGGCGGTTCCTATCACATGCATGGTTCAGGAGTCATTTTTCGGGACGATCCTCGCTTACTTCAACCAACTGAGTGTGTAGGAAACCGATTTGTACCTTGGCTGGCTTGACAACTTACAGCGTATTTCAAGGGCACATAAATGTTGGATAACTCTAAAACGCAAAGATCGAACGATTTGTAAGTGAGAGTCGAATGCACGGCGCATTCTCAAAGCTACTAATCGTCGCGCCAGCTTTGACGTTTGATTCTTGTGAACCGTGTATTCTGCCAAAGTGAATTTAATGCGAATGAAAATCCTGAAAGAGCCAATTCCACCGGTCAGTTCAACCCTTGTTTTCATCACCTACATAATTGAACTGAAGAGCATTGAATTAAACGGGGTAAATGACGCACCGCTATGTAATGCGCTCGGAGCGAAATTGTAATACATGCACCGATAATTCTCGTACAAAAAAGTAGACGAACTGCTCCTCAGATTGATTTCCTCCCTATGGACTGCCGTAGACTACAAAATAACCAGTAATCATCATTACTATAGCTCAAACCCGCCCCATACCGGAGGACTCCGCCCACCATACCACAGTCCAGATCCGATCAGATCTACCGCAGTCTTGATTTCTATTAATAATTCTGTTAATAAAAGGTGTAATGAATTCTTGAAAGCTGACACTTGGAGCCATTTGTGGCTACCGTCTCTAAGCTACTAAAGGATTACTTGGATTGGACAACATATTTAGGTGTCTAAGGTTTCAAAAGTAAATTTTAAAGAGATCATTTTGGAACAGTTTGCTGGGATCCTCCCAGATTGTCATGACTTGCCAACATATATCAAACGCCACCATTTTGCCCTCGAGAGTCAACTTACCTATCCCATTGATTTGCTTCTAATGTGTAATGAGTCCACTGATTTCTTTAGAACATGGGCCGAAATTGACGTAGCAAGTCTCAAGGGCAACCGCTCAGCAATGTTTGCAGCATGCACGAGCCAGGAATCAAATTCGAGGTTTTATACCTTCGGGCCAACCAAACCTCCAAACTGCCCGAGGTCATCTAGTTTCTACCAATTGTATGTGAGAAAAATGTCTTGTACATTGGCTGGCCCCAGAGATCATTGTATGG